CACTACAATATTTATAGCCAATTATAACAACTATATCAAGCAAGGAATATATAACCAAGCTTATATATATATATATATATCCTTTCACTATACTAGATTTTCCTTATTTCTCTCTCTTTCATTCGCTCGCTCCCTCGATCTCTGTGTTGTTAGCTCTATCTCAATCTCTCTACTCGTTCTCAATCCAGATGTCTCACTCTTGCACTTTCTTCATCTCCTCAAATCTTATTAAAAATTAGCTAATAGTCGATTCATTATTATCTGATTGAAATTTCTTTAAATTTACCAAAAATTATCTTTAAAATTCCAAGAATATTTTTAGTGTTTGATTTGAATTTATTTGGACTATGAACCATATTTTTCTTTTTTGATTTGATGTATCTCATTAAGATATAAAATTAGAATATAAATTTATTAAAAATAGAGTTAAGATTAATTTTTTATTTCAATAATTGAATAGTTTTTAGACATGAAATTTTATATATTTGTGACTTAAAAAGAATTTTATAATAACATTGTTGTCATGGAGATTATTAATATCTAATGATTGTAAATTAAGAATTATCTATATTAGAAAGATTGATATTATGTAACATTATTATGAGAGATCTAACTATATGATCTTTATTTATTATGAAATATAATTTGAGGAGATTTAAATATATGATACTTCCTATATTTAAAATATTTAGATGACGAGTAATTGCTATTCCATCAAAGTTGTATATGCAAGACAATGAGATTAGAGCAAGTTTGGCTACAAGATCTGGTAGAGCCATGAATAATATCATGTTCTAGGGCACTTAAGCATCCACTATGATAGTGAAAAAAACTTTGATTCATTAGATTGTTATGTATCCTGTGAAGATTGAGTGATGAAATTTGATGACAAATAAAACTTTGACATGTAGTGATGCGGATCATGAATATGTTATGCTCTTTGAATCCAGAGGAAGTTCTTGCAAATTATGAATGTCATGTATAGAAGTCCAAAAGAGATTGATTAAAGATGAACTGAAGTATTTGTAGCTTGATCCGGGTTTGCTTATCTTGGGAGATCAAATATATGATGATGAAGGAGATGCCTGCAGGAAAATTGTAGGATGCTGTAGAACAAATATCTCACGAAGAGTATGGAGAACTATCTTCATATGAAGTGTCAAATCTACAGGTTTAAAATAAAACGTAGAGTTACTATTGATGAACACTTGATTGATTTCATAAAGTTTTTGACATATCTACTAAGATTTTGTTTGAAAGAGCATCTTCTTTCAAAAATGTTCTTTTAAAAGCAGCTTTAGAATAAATATAGAAATAAAGTGAGGGTTGCTAAAGTTAATATGACAGTTTGAATTTGGAAATATTTATGTGTTTTTTAACACTATTAATTATAAATTATTAAAATTAATTTTAACACTATTAAATTATTTATAGAATTTTATATGACTCTCATTCATCAACATTCTAAATAAGAGGGGGTTCTCCATGCTTAAGAAAAAAGTGCGGCACTTGGAAGAACGAAATAATTGCTTCATAATAATATTCGTAATACAAATTAAAGAATGAATGACAGAGCAAATTTTTTTTTTAGTCGGAGGCGAAATCAACCTCTTGACGGCTCATGAGTGGACTCAATCAAAGATTTGAAATTCAATTAAATTAAGTAATTTGAAATAAGCTGAAATGTGCCATTTGCTATATTTTTATTTATTTTTTATATTTTATTTATAATTTAATTTGAAATTAAATATATTTGATATGTTAAAAGTAAATCAACTTATAGTAAATTTAATTTTTTTAATAAAAAAATAAAAAAAATATGCAAAAAATTACCTCAGTCAAACATTTTCTAAAACAAAAGCAAAAAAGAAAAAAAAAATCCAGGGTGTGTAAATTTGGGGATATTTTAAAATCCCTAAGCACTTAACTTTATGTTTCTATTAAGAGAAATCTATACATACATATACACATATAAAATGAAAATTTTGAGTGTAATGTCTATATGTTGATTTAAGAGTTTAGATATTAAATATATAAATATATAAGAATTATGTGGCATGTATGTAATTGTGTCTCCTTGATAATGCATACATGTTCGCTGATCAAAGAGAGCCTTTTTAGCTAGCTGTCCATTATCTTGAGATTTTGTTAAATTGTTTTTCTCTCTTGTTGGGTTGTAGGAGATAAGGAGGCTTCGACTTAAGAAAAGCGTTGTGTGGTTAGCCTTTCAATCGTCGCACAGATTACACTTGGGCGGCCAGGACCACTGAAATTCTGTCAAAACTCTTCATGGTCCTTTTTTTTGTAAGAAGATGTTAACATTATAAATATTAAAAGTAAAGATAATAATTCGTGAGTTTCCTTCCACATGAGTATGGAGGTATCATATCAATCTCGAGACGATTTTTTTGAATAAAAAATTCATCCATAATTCAAATTTCAGCAAACTTTCAGTAAAACTGACCGGCTCAATAAAAAGAACCCAATGTTACCAAAATTAGTCAAATCTGAGTTAAATCAAACTCAGATCGTCATTAAACCACCCTTGAAAGTTTTCCAGACATATTTAAAAGGTTAAACGAATGTTGAATCTAACAAGCCTATAGTCGAATCGAGTGTATCAACAAGGCGAATCCAACAAGCTAAGATTGCTCAATTCGGACATTGCTAAGACACTCAAATGTCTATCAAATGTCGTCTGATCGAAGGAAGCTCTTGGAACCGTTCGATCGAAGTGGTTGATATTCATGCTTTAATTGCATCTAGAATAGTAAAAATAGAGTCTCACACATCTCATGGAGGAGTGGCTTGAAGCTTGATTGAGAACTTCATGCTTTGAGAAATATCTGAAGTTATCACCATCCTTGTCATCATAGATCGCCTTCGACTGCCGTCGACTGTCGCCCACCTGCCGATTGTCGTCGACCACTGTTGACCGTCGTCGAACACTATTGTAGTCGTCAACCACCACCGACCATCGTCGACTGTCGTTGGTCATCATTAATCAAAAGTTAATTGTTATACTAACCGGAAGTCATAAGTTGACGTTGTAACTCGAAAAACCTAGTAACCATTTTATGTTTGTGGAACAATGGGTCTCCGTAATCATCATGAATTTTTACAATCATGTCGAACATCGTGGTTTTTTCTCATTACGGGGCTTTCCACGTAAAAATTTATGGTATCATTACTAATTGTTTTCTTTCACGTGAGTGTGTGTTAAATTTTAGTACAACACTACAATTATAATGCATTACTCTATTATCTCAAATTTTCTAGCACTCTTAAATACTAAAAATTCAAATTCTAATCATACGAGTAGAATGCCTGGAAACCTTCAACACGATTTACATAGTTTATAGGTATTTTCCTACCTGACATTTAGAGATTCATGTTTCAATGCATAACATGATGATATGATATTAAAATAAAATCTCTTAATAAGCTGCATGAGAATGAACCAAACGACTCGTTTTAATTGCCCCAAAAAATTAGCCATTGCTTTTACGTCCATTCTTCATATTATTTACACCGCACCCTCACCCTCACCCTCACCCTCACCCTCACCCTCACCGTACTTATAATTCTCCCACAGGTTTTTAAAAACCTCCGGAATCCAAAGAAAATACGCACATCCTGAACTCAAGCTTCCCATTCCATGCTCTGTTCTCCCCTGCTCTCCACATTCCTCCTCTGCTCCTCCAAAAAAGCTTGCATCTTTTCATCATCACTTTCACTGAAACTCCTCAACTCACCATCAATGGCTTCCCTTTCCACCACCAACATAAAATCCTTCCTCAACACCACCTTCCTCCTCCTCCTCTGCTTCTTCTTCACCTCCCACATCCGCTCTCCTTCCCCTCCCTTCTTCAACCTCCTCAACTCCCAACCGCCCACCCTCCCTTCCTCCATCTCCTCCTCCTCCACCTCTCCTCCATCCACCTGCATTGCCTTCCAAAAACTCAAAGACCACAACTCCAAATGCCACTTTCTCAAAACCCACCCACCCTGCGTCTCACAAGGCTACCTAAACTATCTCCACCTCTTCTACTGCCTCTGCGGCTCTTCACCTTTCCTCGGCTACTGCCTCCTCTTCCTCTCCCTCCTAATCCTCTTCTACCTCCTCGGCAACACCGCCTCCCATTACTTCTGCTCCTCCGTCGAACGCCTCTCCCGCGAACTCCGCCTCTCTCCAACCATCGCCGGCGTCACCCTTCTCTCGCTCGGCAACGGTTCTCCCGACGTTTTTGCCAGCATAGTCTCATTCCGTTCGGGTTCCGGCGAAGTTGGGTTGAGTTCGGTGCTCGGCGGCGCGTTCTTCGTCTCGTGCGTGGTTGTGGGGATTATCAACGTGGTGGCGGGAGCTAAGGGGAGAAGATCGCCGAGGATCGACCGAGCTAGTTTTGTGAGGGATGTGTTTTTCTTCCTGGTGGTGTTGTCGTCGTTGCTGGCTATACTTGTGGTGGGGAAAGTCGATATTTGGGCGGCAATGGCTTTCACTTCGCTTTATTTCGTTTATGTTTCGGTGGTCTCGGCGACGCATTTGTGTAGGGAGAAGTTTGAAGATGAGGTTGACGTTAAGCCGTTGATTGAAGAGGAGAGGGAGGATAATGCGGCGGAGGAGGAGACCGCCGACGTCTACAGTTCTGTTGATCGTGACCAGACGGTTGAGGAAGCTGGCGGGCTGAAAGTATATTAGTTTACCATCTTGTCATGATACGTCACGATCATGAATATTTATATATAGATAAAGAGACTCGAGCTCTCCAAATCTTCTTTACAAAATTGATAAACATCTTTAAAAATCCATTTTTTATAAAAAAATAGTAGGTCATATATTAATATTTTAGTTATTTTCACTAATATTTTATTTTATATAATTAATATAAAAGAAAATATAAAACACTTCATAACATGTAAATCCTCATTAATATTCTTGCCCGCTATTTCAATTTTGTATTAAAAAGCTGAAAATTAAATAAATTTCCACAGGTATCATACTACCTCAGCTGGCTCTTATACATCATCGAAATGCCGCTGTACCTTCCCCGCCGGCTCACCATCCCCGACGTGAGCGACGAACGGTGGAGCCGCCCCTACGCTGTCGCATCCGCCGCACTCGCCCCGCTCCTCATCGCCAGCTTATGGAATTCCAAACGCTCCATCTCCATGTCTTCCAAAGACTCCCTCACCCTCTACCTCTACGCCGCTCTCGCCGGCCTCGTCCTCTCCTCCCTCGCCGTCCACACCACCGAAAAACCCACCCCTCCCAAGTCCTCCCTCTTCCCATGGCTCGCCGCCTCCTTCCTCATGAGCGTTCTCTGGACCTACATCATTGCCGAAGAACTCGTCGGCCTCCTCGTCTCCATCGGCTACATACTGGGCATCAGTCCCGGCATACTCGGCCTCACTGTGCTAGCATGGGGAAATTCAATCGGCGACCTCATAGCCAATCTCGCCATGGCCACGAACGGCGGCCCGGATGGAGCTCAGATTGCCATTTCGGGCTGCATTGCGGGTCCCATATTCAATACCTTGGCCGGGTTGGGTTTGTCGCTGGTGGTTTCGGCGTGGGCGGCGCGGCCCGAACCGTTTGAGATTCCGGCCGGACCGGCGGTTTTTGAGATATTGGGGTTCATGATATGCGGGTTGGTGTGGGCCCTGGTGATACTGCCGAGGAATGACATGAGGTTGGATAGGTTTGTGGGGATTGGTTTATTGGGGATTTATTTGTGTTTTTTGTCGTTGAGGCTGACGCAGAGTTTGGGATTGGTGTAGAGAGGTGGGGAGCTGTGGGGGATTGAGTTTGGAGGAGTCATTCAGCTGCTTTTCATGTAAAATTATTAGCCTTTTTGGATTTTTTTTTTCTTTCTATGTATTTTGATGATGGTGATTAGTTTTGTGCTTCGCTTGTCGGTTTGACTTAATAAATTGTTATTATTGTTATTATTATTATTATTCATATGAGATTATTTATTATCGTGTATCGCTTCTCTCTGTTTCTCTTTTGTCTTATGCTCTATTCATTGAGTGTGATTCAAAAACGAATATTCTGTACATTGATTGCAAATCTTGACAATGAGCTGAATGGACTGCTACATGATCGCATCCAGACTGTTGTCTGGAGGTGTAGTCGGCCGCATGTAATATTTTATCGTGATTCACATGAAAAAATTATGATTCAACATAACAATAAATTTATGAAAATAATTAGAGCACGCGAGAAGCTTATATGATGCGTTTGAAATATCTTAAAAAATATTGAAAACTATAAGGATAGGTTTTAACACTCCAAACGATACGATTGACCTATATTTTATTTTGGAGAACGGATTAATGCTCTCTCAAGTGTATATATTTTGGTTTATTTTGTTTAGTCTACGTAAATATAGTGGTCGGACCCGTTCCATTTTGATATATGAGTTTGATTCGAGATTTCATGGAGTAATTAGTTATAATATACGATGCTTCACATCTTATTCTAAGTTTTTAAGAGCAGTTATAATTAGTTAAAATCATGTTTAAAAACCTAGTTAGCTGCTTTGAGCAGGTTGGTTTAGTACAGCATTTAACAGATTTATTAGTAAATCATATTTAGAGATTTTTGAGTATGGTAGGAAAAAAAGTTCTATTATTTTAATAATTGATTCCAGTTATATTTTCAATTATAACCTAAATGTGATATAAACTCAGCAGTTTTATCGTTTCCAATCATATTAATTTTAAATATTTTATAATTAAATTTTAGTTATAAATTGCATAAATATTTATGTAAATTCTTATTGTAAATGAATTATAAATTTTGTGGGCGTACGGATCATGCATGCTTGGTACCATGCATAAAATTATTCATGAATCACGAGGCCTGGTATTTTTTGGTTTATTTTTAATTGGAAGCTTAACTAAAAATGGGGCTTCAAATCTGTTAATTTGGTCTTATTCATAATGATTATATCAGAGCTCGCTGGCATCATTCAAATGTCAATTCTTCGACTTGACTTTGGCCACATGTTAACTGACTTCAATAAAGATTCTATCAGGATTTACTTTGTGTGTGTGTGTGTGTGTGTGTGTGTGTGTGTGTGTGTGTGTGTGTGTGTGTGTGTGTGTGTGGGTGTGTGGGGGTGGGGGTGTGGGTG